TTGCTGACTTGTCCTAAACGACGCCATGTTGGGCCTGTGTTTTTCTTTTTAACAGTTCACAACTGGGCTGTGTGGTCAAGAAGCCTAGCTTTCGGCCTACCTTGGCGTTTGACATAACTTCCTCTCTGAGCTCAATCATCTCTAGCTTTTGGTTGAAAAGTGAAAGAAGTGTGACTTCTCCTGTCACTTGGGCTGTCAGAGGTCACTGAGGGTTTTGCACTGGGCTGATTTCAATACTGTTGTGTCTCACGGAGTAGGGAGGTTGCGGGGGAAGGAGAGAGCTGGGGGCAGAGCTGGGTGTTGGAGCAGTGGAAACACACACAGCATTTACGGATTAAGTTTGTGGTCTTCTAGGAGCACACTTTGTGGAATCCTGAAACAATCATAATAGCAACCTCAGAAATCACTCAGATCGCCATAACAAACACAGTAATGATGGAGAAGTTTCAAACACTGTGAGAATTACCAAAATGTGACAGATAGACAAAGTGAGCAAATGCTGTGGGGAAAATGGCGCCCACAGACTTGCCTGGTGCAGAGTCACCACAAACCCTCAGTGTGTAAAAAAGCAAAACAAAACTGATGGGCCGGCTGGGAAACCGGGGCTCCAAAATGGCAGATCTTCCCGCCAACCCTCTCCAAGATGGCGGACTTTCCCGCCACCCTCACTGCGGCCTCCATGTCACTGTCAGGAGATTGAAACTCTCCACCCAGCAGCTTCCAAATTGGGAACTGCCCATCACGGAGGGCCCTCACCCTATACCTTCCAATCCCCAAATATGGATGTGAGCCCATGCCCTACCTTGGCCTGATAAAAGACCCCCGCCAACCCCCTCCCAGTGCAACTTCCCCCACTCCCCTTTCCAGAGTTGAGGAACCTCCCTGAGAGTGCCCACCTCCTCCCAGCGCGACTTTCCTGGCTCCCCTTCTCCTGAACCCTGAAACTTCGCTGGAGATGCCTTTAATAAACCTTGCCTTGTGCCCACCTTGCCTGGTGTTATGTTTACCTCGCCTGCAAAACTTTACAAAAACAACATAGTCTCTAAGAAGTGCAACCAGATAAGGTGTGTGGGTAGGTATCCCAGGGCCCCGTTTTTGTTAAAGACTCCATGTCAGATAGCTACTTGGGAGGCATGCTCTTACGACTCTTCTACTCAAGAACCCACGTTGGCTCCCCTTTGCCTGTCACCTTTGTTTCCATTTTGAATTCCTCACTGAGGCTGCCTGGTTGTAAATCATCCCACTCTAGACCTAACCTACCTCTCAAAACGCACCTCCCTCTGATCCCAAACACCCTTTGATTCAAGCAACTTTGTTTTTCCCTCCTTCCTAGGATTCTGGCCTCAGCATTTTGTTTCTATGATTCTCCTGGTTGGGTTGTTCTCTTTGCACACGCTACCTTTTGTAGATGACAGATGATAGACAGATCGCGATAGGTCAGAGACTTCAGAGTAAAGCGATCAATGACACCATGTACTCATGCACTCGGCTCCTGAGAAAGACACTTGCCCACCCTGGGCCTGAGTGTTTTGATCTTTAAAACTGAGCTACTAATAATAATTTTCCAGCATTTCTGAGTGGGGGAAAGAACCTAGTTCAGTACCTAGAACACAGAAATACCTCACATTCATCATCTTCTGCCTCCTCTATTAACAATCCCCAAATCTGTGGCTGCAGGAATGTCCTGGCAGGCTCTGTGGGTATCCCTAATTGCTCCAGGCCATATATAATCGTCTCTCTCCTGACAGCTCACAGCACTTTATCTACACTCTCATTTGTTGTCATTCTAGTCCTTCTTGATGCTGACATTTCATCTCCTCAAATTACCTTCCATTTCCCAGCACTAAGTGTGGAGATGGTCCTCCCACTGCCCAGAGCAGTGGTTGGGCAACCTCCACGGCCACCTGAGCAGGGCCTGAAAGGGGGGGGACCTGTCTTCTCACTCAAGCTCCATGGCCTGCATTCATGGAGTCCCCAAACCCACAGCTTACCTGTGTCTTCTCATTCATAAAATGGAATCCATGCTTATGGAACCTGTCTACTTACTGCACACAGTTGCCAAGACCATGAGATTTAAAAAAAAAAAAAAAAAAAATTGGAAGCATTTAACAAAGAAGTGTATTTTGACATGACCTTCTTTCCGGGATATAGCTCAGGACTACTGAGGAATGGGAAGCACTGGGCTCTGAGGTGTATTCATGCCATTGTATCCTGGAAAGTAGGAATAATTATGAGCCCTCCCTCCCTCCCTGTACAGGAAGAAAACAGAAGCTGAAGATGGTGAGTAACTTCCCAAGATCTACAGCTAAAGAATGCAAATTAACCCCAGAGCTGTTGGGTCTCAATGTCCATAATCATAGGATGCAGAAGAGGAGAGGCTTTAGGCTTAGAAAAAAATAATATTTTACATTTGGTGAGAGCTCTCACTAAGATGCATTAGTTGTCATATACGATCGGCTCTGAAGATATGAACAGGAATACATGACAGATAACCGGGAGGGAAGTGACTTTCTAAGTGTTGAAAATGTCAGGGCGGGGATACAAGCCCAGGGTTCCTCTGCCCTCTGTGTGCAAGCTTCCCACAGGGGCTACTATCAGAAATGGTACTGGCGCACCCTAGGCTACCCTAGGCCATTGTGACGTGAGGATTGCTGACTGTTACGTTCCATTTAAACACCACTAACAATCAGACGCAACGCTAATTTCTTTCAGGATGAGTGTCTATTGAGTGTCTACCTATTAGCTAGGTACGTATCTTAGGAGATACACTGATCATCTCTATAACTTATCTCTGTCTACACCCCCATCTACCTGTGGGCGGCTCTGGTTCGGTCACTAACGGAAGCTCTTCCTCTTACCGCTTTGACCACTTTGTGGTGGCTTGAGCGCATCCAGAAAAAAGGGAAGAAAATCAGTTCCGATGCAGGCTATCTTTATAAGCCCTGATTTTAGTGTTTAAAATTCAATGTGATCATTTACCTAAATCATAATTTACCTGATCATAATTTACCTAAAACAGAATGTATCCCTCTTAATGGTACAAGGTGATTATTGACGAATATGTGTTCTAACTATAATGTCATTGGGGTGCAGAACATTTCCATCCCCTCGGAAGGTGCCCTCCTGCCCTGGACGCTCAGTTTCCCTTGCCTCCTCCTTGGGCAGTTAGTGATGGGACTCCCAACATGGTATGTAAGGTTTTCCTACTCTAGAGCTTTATAGAACTGGAGTCCTAAGGTATTTGTTCTTCTGCACATGGTCCTTGCTACGGAGTGGCTCTCTGCTTGGCTTCAGGGACCCATGCTTTCATTTCCACATCCCCAGGGCTGGGTGTCATCCTGGTGGACTTCCTCTCCATGGTGTGCATCACCAGCTAGGGCAGAGACCCTCATGTGAAATCTTCAAGGCATTTCAAAAATAAATACATATAAAAGTGGCAGGGAAGGGCGCCTGGATGTCTCAGTCGTTAAGCATCTGCCTTCGGCTCAGGTCATGATCCCAGGATCCTGGGATCGAGCCCCGCATCGGGCTCCCTGCTCGGCAGGAAGCCAGCTTCTCCGGCTCCCACTGCCTCTCCCAGTGCTTGTGTTCCCTCTCTCACTATCTCTCTCCCTGTCAAATAAATATAAATACAATCTTTAAAAAAAAAAAAAGAAGAAGAAGAAGAAGAAGAAAAACTATCCTTTTTTAAAAATTAAAAAAAAAAAAGTGACAGGGAAGCAAAGAACCTACATTCCTGCTTCCTTTCCTGGAACCTTCCCTGCACCCCAAAGTGCATGTGATAAGAAGTAAAGTAAAATCAAAGTGCGCTGAGAAAAAGCTCAGATTAGAATCTGCACAGTGAATTTTATTCTAATTAATAGAAACCTAACACTTAGCCTGAAATGCAGGAGCTAAGCTAGTGACTCAGGTCAAAAGGCAAGTTTGTTTTTAATTATACAGGAGTTTTAGAACAATAGTACCGCCACTATGAATATTTAATTTACATATCTCACACATGTGCACACAGCCACACACCCACACACATACACACAGAGGATATTTTAATAATTCTGGGTACTTATTCTCTCACGATAATAAGGCAATAGAAAGAATGGATATTTAAACTGCTCTGTCAGATGTTCCGAGTCCAGAGCCTGAAGTGTGGTCTCTGTGGTGTCCCTAAAAACAGAGCCATCTGCCATGGGAGGGCAATAGGAAAGAAAACTTTAATTCTGGTGCTAACAGCTTCCACTCCTAAAAACAACAGGGCTCTGCAGGAACGTCGCCCATATCTGCAGGTTGGGGCACAGGACACAGGTATCCATCTTCTCCAAACGCTTCAGAATGGAAGTCTGTGCTGCCTCCCAGAATCCGTGTGCCTCAAACCTGATGCCCAATGTGATGGTAGGAGGAGCTGGGGTCTTTGGAAGCCGATGAGGTCCTGAAGGCAGAGCCCTTACAAGAGAGGCTCCAGACAGACCCTTTGCCTTTTCCGCAAAGTGAGGACGGGGTGGGCGAGCAGTCAGCAGCCTGTGACCCTGAGCGTGGCGCGCACTCAGCCCTGCTGGCCTGGCTGGCCCCTGAGTGCACACTTCCAGCCTCCAGAGCCCTGAGAAATCAATCCCTCTCCTTCAGAAGCATCCCTCTATGGTATTTCGTGCTAACAGCCTGCATGGACTAAGCTGCCAAAGGAGGGTGACTCTCCCAGATCACACATCCTCCTTCCAAAGGAACAGGAGAGACAGCACTGCGAGTCAAACTCCAAGTGCACTTTTCAGTTCTTCTCCCAGCCCCACTCCCCTCCTTCTCTGACCTCATCAGAGTGCCGGAAAGAAATTCCCCCAAAGATACTCTCCTCCATGTCCATGCAGGCTGGGTTTCGGGGAACTGTTTTTCGTGGGGGCGGTGGGGGGGAGGGAAACAAAACAGGATGTCTGTGCGGGAGCCCTGGGTATTTCTCAACGAGCGCACACACCCTGCTCAAAGGGAAGGTGGGAAGCTTTCAGTTTCAGATGTGCATCGAGGCTGAGAGAGAAGAGCCATGGCTGGTGAGTGTCCCGCTGGCTGAAAGGGCGTGTCTGGGGGAACAGGGGCCCAGCTGGTCTTTAGGTCTTTGGGACTGTTCCAGTAGGCACAACAGAGGGTGGGGGCCACTGGGGGGCAGGCGGGAGGGCAAAAGGAGGGCCCGGAGACTCCCTAGGACCTGAAGAAAGGCAAGGCCAGGGCCAGGAGGGAACTAGGGGGCTCCGCTGGCATCCTGGGTCTGCTCTGTGTTCCTAGCTGAATGTCAAAGGCTCTGGAGTGATAGAGGGTATAGAAGTGGCCCGGGAAAGGAAATAGGACATCACTTGCATTTTTTTTTTTAAGATTTTATTTATTTATTAGACAGAGAGAGACAGAGCGAGAGAGGGAATACAAGCAGGGGAAGTGGGAGAGGGAGAAGCAGGCTTTCCGCTGAGCAGGGAGACCGATGCAGGGCTCGATCCCAGGATCCTGACCAGAGCGGAAGGCAGATATGCTTAATGACTGAGCCCCCCAGGCGCCCCTAACTTCATTATTTTCTTGTGTGGAGTTGAGGCAGGTGGGGCACGTGGGGACCAGTCCAGGTTTTCAGTTGCGAGTGGCCGGAGAGGACCTCTGTCCTCAGGCTGCTCAGTGAGTGACCAGGGTCAGTGCTGAGGGGGCAGTGAGAGACACAGGGGTCTTCAGGGCTTGAGGGGAGGGATGTCTTTCCAATCTAACCTAAAGCAGGCTACTCCTTGGAGCTGGCGTGAGGGGAATGAGACTGTTTTCATGACTTGAGGAATCCTTGTGCTTCATGTAGACAAGATCCTAAAGGACAGAAGGAAGCTGTTTGTCAGCTCAGTGAGCCCTGGGACCCTCAACGGCTTGCTGGATGAGCTCTTAGACAAAAAAGTGCTAAACCAGGAGGAGATGGAGAGAGTGCGATGCGAAAACGCTACCGCGATGGACAAGGCCCGGGCTCTGATCGACTCCGTCACTCGGAAAGGGCCACAGGCCTGCCAGATTCTTATTGCTTTTATTCGTGTGGAGGATTCTTTCCTTGCAGAGAAGCTGGAGCTCTCAGGTAAGGGTCAGTGCACAGAGGGCCCGTGTCCTTGTGCCCAACGTTTGATTTCTTTCTCGCTCAGGTTAGTTTGCAGAGAACTTCCCGGTTCCTGGCCACAGGGCCCCGTTTCTGTATCAGTGGCTGGACCGCAAGTGTTCTGCTTTGTTTTTGCTCCTGGCCCTTTGACCTCAGCAGCCTTCTTCTGATTGAAGCTCTTCTCCCGTTCTGAGTGTGCCGCAGCTCCTTTGTGGGACTTCATGAGGTGGTCTGAGAAGCTTCGTACTCGATTCTCCAGTCACCCTGGTGAAGCACCGACTCTCTCTCACTCTCTCTCTCTCTCTCTCTCTCTCTCAGTCTCTCTCTCTTGTTAAAGTCCGGGGCTACCTGGGAACTTTCGTAGTCATCTCACATAAAGACTCGGATACTTTATCTAACATCTCTCCAAAATCTGGCTCTCCAGGAGCAACAAAATATACTTCAGGGATGGTGGAGCCCTGGGAATAAATTCAGGGCCTACAGAAAAGTAAGGGTTTTAAGTGGACACTTCCTTTCGGTTACCTCCTCACATATTCCTCTGAGCAGGAGTAAATTCAGGGCCTACATAAAAGTAAGGGTTTTAAGTGGACACTTCCTTCCGGTTACCTCCTCACATATTCCTCTGAGCAGGAGTGTCCACTAGTGTGGCTCCGGCTGCAGAACGTTCTGTGAGGCCCAGCCCCTGACCTCTAGTCCTTCTAAGAGCCCGAGAACAGCAGAACGGCCCCTTCTGTGGTCACTTAGTCCCTCCACACTCCAGTGGAGTCTAGCCCCTGGTCTCTTCGGCACTTGCCAACGCCATTTAGAAAGCAATGTTCTTTGAAAACAAAAAGCCCTTTTTCCTGGGGATTGGTTGAGGGCTCTGCCTTCCAGGTGACATAGCAAACATTCACAGATAGATGATGAGTTTCTCATGTTTCTTTCAGTAACTTGTTCATTTAACAAATCCCCCCAAATTAAAGACAACCAGTGAATAATGGTCAGGGTCTAGAATACTTTCACAACAGCCAGAGAGCTCACTCTGCCCCCATTCCTCTCCCTGCACAGTCCTGGAGGTGCTTGTCCAACCCATCGGGACACTGCAGCCCGGGCTCCACCTCTCCAGTCGTCACATGATGCCTCCCTGGTCAGGGTCGTCATGGCTTCATCTCTCCCTCATCCGTCTGCCAACTGTTGTAGGTCCACAGGCTATGACAATGAGATAGCATATTTGGATGCACTTTAATGGGAGAGATCTTTCTAAAAGAAAGTTCTTGATGTAAGAAGACCTATTTCCTATTGCCGTAAGAAGGCCTCCTCCAGAGAATGTTCTGGCATTCACTGATGCTGAATGACTCCACCAGTCTAGAGGGGAAGGATGGGAGAAACTGTAGTGTGCTGCCTTGGCCTTGACACTTTGACTCCCCTCCATTCAGAGGAGGGAAATGGACCATATTTTGTCTATGGAAATCCTGTCTTCAATAAGTACTACAAAATGAAGATCGGGGGGGGGGGCATTTCTCATGTGCTAGCTTATGCCAATTCTGAAAGTTTCTAGAGTAAGTGTCTCGGGTGGGTGCTGTCATACTGAGATCCTCATAAGACCTTCAACAAATTTAAATTCAATTTTTGTCCTTAAAATCGACAATCATAAAAGTGACCCAAGAGGATCGATGAACAGGTTTGGTGATTTTATGCATCCAAACACTGTAATTGCAGCTTCCCACTGTTTTCCTCCTCCAGCTATGGCTTCTGCTACCTAGTAGGACGGATGCAGATTACGGAGGTGATGGTCAGGGATCCCGGCATGTGCGTCCCCAGACAGTGGCCTTGGTGGGCGGGAGGAGTAGCATACTGATCAGAAGCCCATAGATGATTATGAAGACGGTTTGCATGGGTATTCTGGCTTGACCACCTTCCTGTTCAGTGACACTTGGGAAATAAACTTCCCCGACTGAGGGTCGGCCAAGGGTCACCTCATCCTCATTTTCTGCTGTGATAAGTCTTTGCAAAGCTGAGAGTCCATGGGCACGTGCCTGTTCTTTTTCATTTTCTCTCCCAAGTCCAGGCCAGCTCTGAGTTAGACCCTCAACATGGCACGCCCCTGTCAGGCAGCAGCGGTCACCCCAGGAGCCATCTTGAGACAGGAGAATTAAGAGACCTCTTGACCTATTGCTGTCTCAATACCCCTTCATCTTAGCAGAAATGAAGAGTCACTTGCAGACATTCCTTTGTCCTGCATCCGGGGGAAATTTCTGGCTTCTCAGTGACCGGTGTGGTTCTAGGAGGCAGGCCTGTAGAAGGTGGGTTCACTAGGGAGGGTCCAACACATCAGGCAAGATTCTCCAGAGACGATAAGCCACCATTTTTACGTTCTGAATCTTTCCTCAGGTCTGCCATCTGGAAATCAGCTTAACTCAGACTCTCAAGTAGCAACTCTTCCTTCACCAGGTAATGGTATTTTCTAAGCAAGAACATTTTTCGAACCTCATCTTTCTTGACATTAATTCTAGGTTCATGGGATGACCCCAGGGTGAGAGGGTGATGGGTTACTCTCATGGATTGATCCCAGGCCTTTCTCTCTTCTTAATCCCTGCTTTAGCAGAAGCCATCCCTGTAATTTACTACCACATTCATACGCCCGAATCTAAACGTATTCCAAACCTGACTACCCGTTGGAACTCCACACTTGACTCTTCTAGTGCCTACTGAGCACAGGCACTCTTGGTTCCCTGCGGGAGCTGAGCTTGTCATCCTTCCCTTCCCTTGCTTCCCCTTCAGTTTCCCCTGTCTTAGTTAATGGCACCACTATCATCCAGTTATTCAGACCAGAAACCTGAAATAGCTTGGGTTTTCTTCTTCCTTACTTCCAACATTCCAGCAGTGGCCAAGCTTACAGATTCCTCTCTCAACTCCAGATTCCGCCCTCCACTTCACTTTCTGCCTCTCTCAACTCCAGATTCCGCCCTCCACTTCGATTTCTGCCTCTCTCAACTCCAGATTCCGCCCTCCACTTCGATTTCTGCTACTTTATTTCAGAATCCCAGTTCTCACAGTGGCCTATGGTTCTTCAGCTGTAACTCTTACTATGTTTGTCTTGTCATTAGAGAATTAAATCTATCCTTTTCTTGCACTGGACTTTAACCTTTATGAGGAAATTAGACACATCTGATTTATTTGGAGGTAAGATCCCATCACTGTAGTTGACTCAGTGTGCATGCAATAAATGTTTGTTAAAATACTATTTCACTGCATAATCTCATCAAAATTGCTAGTGGGCTAGGCCATGAGAAAAACATCTGACATATGTCAACTGTGTTACAGATCTTGCTCTATGGACTGTTTATAGAGGAATGAATAAGACAAACAAGGTTCTTGCTTTTACCGATCCCATAAAAATACATGAAACACAAAGAATAGGTATTTAAGGATTTCTACCATCAAATTAAAGCTAGTCAAAAATTTGGGGATGGAAATGACACTACACACAACCATATCAGCTAGATGAGCCCAAACAGTAGTAAGTTAACCTGGTGTTAACTTAATCTACCTTACCGAAAGATTAGTCATCAGATGATTTTTCAATTAAGAATTCTTATTGAGATAAGAACTTAAAATATTAGAACTCTAGATCATTCACTCATTTATTCATTAATTTATACATTCAGCAAGCATATATGTGTTTATAAGTATTTTAAGCACAAAGATGTGGGAATGAGATGTGGGCACAAAGATGAGGATTCAAAGACGTTGTGCTTTTACCAAGGAGATTCAATATAAAAGAAAGAAAAGATCCTAGCATCTAGTGGAAAAAATGTACAGTTTTAGGCAATAACATGGCCTTTCCTTGGAGCATATATTACAAAAGGATCATCATCACCGTGAGAAAGAGAAATATGAAAGCAGTAGGTGGCCAGGAAGTTAGTATTAGGCCCAGTGTCACAGAAGAAAGATGAGAAGCCCTCCCAGAAATCTTCAGTGGGGATGAATCATTAAAACATGGCCCAGTGTGAATTCGATGGGTCCAGAGAACTCAATGGAGATGATGAAAGAAAATGTACTTTATGGGGCAGATGGCGAAACAGTCAGAAGGCCTTTGCAGGGCTATTTCCCATCATGCAGAACTTTCTAGAGACAGGGCAAAACTCTTTAAGTTGTGCCTATAGTTGAAAGAGTGTTTGTATTTCTGACAGAAGACAAACACAACAAAAACCCATTTAAGATTTTGGAAACTGTGGGCAAAGAACTCATTACTGGTGTTTTGTATGGCTTGTTGGAAAAAGATGTTCTGAAACTGGAGGAAGCAGAAAAGAAAAAAAATTTTATGATGCTAAACCTGAAGACAAGCCTCGGGTCTTTCTGAACTCTGTGCGACAGAAATGGCAGGAGGCAGGTCAAGCCCTTGTCCAAACTTTCATTAATATGGACAAATATTCCACCAGTGTAAAAGGTAAACTGAAATCACTTAATGATGGGTGTCTCAAATTTTCCAGATTCTACTTAACTCCAAGGCCCCTCCAGGGTTCTCCATAATCCCACCATCTTTCCATTACTAACATATAATTTTTACTAAACTGGTCATCATCCTCTGAGAGGCCACCTTCCCTTTTGTGGGAGGGGACCCACTTCCCAGTTAGGTAGGAAGTTAGGTCCCTGTGCTTCCGTTATTTATAGAAGAGCTGATTGTGGACTCTGGGGAGTAAAGGATATCTGCACGTGAACCCAGATTCTGCCCCTGTAGACACTCCATGATTTCATTCCAGCTTCTTCATCTTCCTGGGCATCAGTCTCAGCATCTGTGACGTAGTGACAGTTCTGGTAACTTTTTCACAGGCTGGGGACATCATGGCAGGCACAGCGGACAACTCTGAAGACAGTAGCCCTCATCCAGAACTCTCCTCTGAGCTCCAGACACACTTAGCTCTAGCTGCACAACCAACGTTTCCAGCCGAAGACTCCACTGACTTCACAAACTTAAACAGAGTTAAACCCTTGATTCCCCCCATCAGATCTGTTCTGCTTCTAACCCCTTTCTATCTCAGTGGACAGGATGATAATCCAGCAAGTCTCTCTATCTAGAGCACAAGTGTTTTCTTCATGAGGGAAGAGTAGCTCTCGGCAGAGTACAGACCACACAGGAGGCCGGGAAGAAACACAGGATGAACACGACACATAACGAACAGGCACCCAGGAAATATTAGTTCTCACAAGTATTACTTCACTTCTAATGTTTAGATCTTTCTAGTGCTTACTCATTCCCGTGTGTCACAAAAACATGATCAGGAGAACAGCTGTCAAGTGCCCAATCTATTAAAACTCTTGAAGACTTCTGACCTAGATTGAATTATAAATATTACTAGAACCTAAATAGCCTCTAAGCCAAGTTCACCAGCGGCAGACTTGATCCGCTACGGAGGTTAAGCTCAAACCCTAGCCCTGAAATCTCAGAGTTGATCAATAATAATAACTATAATAATAAACAATAATAAACAAAAGGCAATAGAAAACTCTAGCTATCTCACTGTACCAAATATGCTTTTTCAACGAGTCCCTCATGGGGAAGGGGTGCTCTGTCCACCAGGACACACGTGCTGGTCGGAGAGATCTCCAATATGATGACCTCGGCTCTGTTCTCATTAATACATGAGCTGGTCCTTATGCAGGCTTATCATTTCCTCTTAAATCGGGGATGGAATGGAGACAATTTTGATAAAAAAAAAAAAAAATCAGAGATCACTCAGCAAATGGGAATTGAAACTGAAGTCATAGGAGCTTCGAATAATCTGAAGCCCCCAGGAATCACCATGAACATCAAACTGAAAAGTTCAGGCTATCGGCAGAGTCTGAGGTGGCACCCAAAGCCCGGGGAGCTGGGGGAGCTGGGCTACTGACATACAGAAAGACCTTGGCTGGGCCTCCTGGACATGGATATCATTCTGATTCATTTCATTTAACAAACTCATATATGTACATATGATGCAACGGGCACTGTTAGTCTGAGGAATAGCTATTTGGACACCACCTGGCCAAGAGAGATGGCTTTGTCTTACATTGCACCAGTCTCTTCCTTTTTGTATAACTTTAAGGGGTTTCTTGAGCATTTCATTAAGTAATAGAGAAGAAAGTTAAAATTTTTATCTGAACTCCGAATTCTCTCATTTCCTCCTGTGCGCCTCCAGGCGAATGGAACCCCCTTTGGGCAGCAGGCTGCACTACAGCACATATTATGTTGTACAGAGGGACTCATTTTCATGCTAACTTTACTACTAAATGTGAGATAGAAATCCTATCTGATCCCAATTTTATCTGCAAACGCAGTATCTGTACCCAGATACAAGATGGTCATTAGGAACTGATGCTTATTAATTAGGATGTTCACCAATCCTGGAAACAGAGGTGACTTCTGCTGGGAAAAAGTACCCTCTGACCAGAGACTAGCCCAGGACCCTGGATGACCTCGCATTGGTGGAATCTTCTGGAAAACAAAGGGAGAGCACATGTATCTGTTTAAGAAATGTTCAGAACATCTAGCTTCCTTAAGGACTTACAATTTGCTACATCTACAGAGGTTGGGTTTTTATCATTCAGTGTAGAAAGACATTTATCACAAGAATATGATTTAAAAACTAATGGAAATGAATGAAATAAGAAAAAAGTGTAAAATATGAAAACTGAAAATTTTATACAAGATAACATTGCTTTTGTCGTTTAAGTAAAAGACTTCTTGGTTGGCTTGTGTCACTGAGCACGAAAATTTATTCCTCTAATGGGCAAACCCCTTGTTACATTAGCTCTTGGCAAACTGCTCAGTTCTGTCTATGAAGTGCTCTTCCTCATTCCTCCAAGGGCGGGCTCAGGACTTTCCAGGCTTCTTGCACAGTCTCAGTTAAGGGAGGCCAAGCAGGGCCTGATAGTCCTACATTTCTCCAGGGATTAGGTCAGGATGAGTCAGAGACAAACTTCTCCACATGGTAGGAGGGATTTTCTCACATTGGAAAACATAGGTTGAAAACTGTGCTGGTTGGTTCACATGTTGGGGGCAAGGACACCCAGAGTATGTTAGGGTCCCTGACAGACAACCATCTGGTCAACCCTGGAACGTAGGGCTGGTTACTAGAGTCTCTCCTTTAAGTCACTGACCTTGCAGCTGGGTGAGGAGCCACTGCAGCCTGTCTCCTCCATGAAGGTCACAAGTGCACACAGTTGGAGATTCCGCTCCACGCGTGCGTGGGTGTCTGTCTGTGCCACGTGAGGTGGGAGTGGACTCAGGATTGTACTCTCTCCGACAGCATAGCTGCCAGCCACACCCGGTGACTCCAGGCTGGAGCTATGACCAAGTAACACATGCTGAGAGGATGTGATTTTGCATCCTATTAATTAATTACCCCTATTAATTAATTTCACTGGTTTCTTTTTCGTTTCTGACCATGGACATGACAAAATTTTGAATGGCACATGTGGCTCAGTCTCATTTCTAAGGGACAGCACTCCAGTAAATCTTAACTCAGGCGGTTCTTGCTCAGAGACCATAGAAGGTCCACATGGACAAACAGGAACCCCAGAGTAAAACCACTGGAAAAATCAAACTGTTTTTGCTGAATATAGAAAGGCTAAATCTGATCCCAAATCATGAAAGTATTTTCCTCAGAATTATCAGAAACCTACACTTGCATTTTCAGGGGGATCTGCTTCCTCTGCTAAATCTTCCTGTTCTTTCCTACTCAAAATACACCTCCTTACACTAGAAGTTGGACATAATTATAACCCCTACGTGCTGAGAGATCTTCCCATCATCTCCCTCCTCTGTCAGTATTCTTAAGTGAAAATTGGGTCCCAAAGGCAGATATACTAATTGATGATTCGTGCTATATCCTGCAGCTTTTGAGGATACCATGCCTGGGCCACCTGAACCAGAAGAACCTCCCAATATGCTCAAGCTTTGTCCTCATGAAGAATTCGTGAAACTCTCTAAAAAGAAGGCTGCAGAGGTGCTGTGCTCGGTCCATGACATCGAGAATAAGAGAGAAACAACTGTTTCCACCACACAACTTCCTAAAACACTGATGGCAGAGTTGGGGAGTGAGGACAGTGGCAATCTTATCCTTAGATGCTCTGAGCAAGGAGGAAATCATGTGGACCTCACACAGACTGTGATTCTCTTTCAACCGCACGACAGAATGCAGATGTTTCATCTTGTTCATTTATTTGTTCTCGAATCTATTTGTGATTTAGGACAACTTTAGCTGTCGTTACCGAAGCGAAGTATTTATGAGAGAATATGGCTGAGTAATGGTTGTTTGCATTCTAGTTGAAAAGCCTAGACATGAAGCATTTTCTAAAATATAATTAAAGTCTGCATAGCATTGTATGTTGATGTGTTTTTAAGAAAAAAAAAGTACCAAAATAATAATGTTACCAAGTAAGAAAGACCACTCATGTATTCATTTCTAGTTGGAGCCAGTGGCAAGCGTCTCCTGGCTTCTACAGAATTGTATCTGAATCTTGAATGTGAAGACAGACTTGACTAGGTGGAGAAGAGAGAGGAGGAGAGGGTAGGAAGTATTCTAGTCTCCTGAAGATTCTTAAGGAACCATCCCAGCTCTATACTGGGTCCTGCTGTTAAGGGCTCTTAAAAGATAACTTACCTCCCCTCTGCACTTCTTACTACCGCCAACTCAATCCATTACAAAGAGATGGGAGAGCAGGGTCTTCTGGTACAGGATAGAGGACTGGGCGGCTCAAGGAGCCCTTAGTGAAGTAACAGTGACCAGCAGATGAGGGTTTCAAAGGAGCCTGAGGTAAATCGAACTCACCGTATGTCTGTTTCCTGCAGATCTACCCAGTAAAGGAAAGAAACGATCGTACTCGGCTGGCTCTCATCATATGCAATATAGAGTTCGATCATCTTCCACCCAGGAATGGGGCCGAAACTGACATTGCAGGGATGAAGAACCTGCTGGAAGGCCTCGGCTACAGTGTGGACGTGAAACAGAAACTCACTGCTGAGGTTGGGGCCCCCCACCCGCCCCTAAGTGTATATTCAACGCACATCCTACTACGAACATGTTAGCTTCAGCATGTTAGGCAAACACCTTGACCTCCTTATGTGTGTTTGTGTGTTGAAGACATGGAAGTAAGAAACAGGGAGAAATTTATGTCTTTTTTGAGCTCTAATATCCTCAGTTCCATAACGGGGCAAAGTGGCTGGCATGTGTATCTAGACAATCCTCAGTTCCAAAGCGGGATGATTAGGAGTCTGTCCCAGCAGTCCCTGGAAATCCTAGTGTGATGTCAGTGTCGTGGGAGTGTACTCACCATTACGTGCCGAGTCCCAGCTGTGTCCCAGGGGCTCTTCCTGGCATTGGGCACAGGTCTGTGAATGAGACGGGCAGCTCCCAGCTCCAGAGCTCTGGGCTTGCTTGGTGTGGGATGATCGTACTGTAAGCAAAACAGAATGTGTCACAGATTTGGCACGTCTCTGGAAGAGTGAAAAGAAAGCTAAAAGTAAGTAAAGAGAAAAAAGAACAAGGAAACATGAGAGCAAACTAGTGAGTGGGGATCCCAGCAAACCTGAAGTTAGATGGGCTCTTCGGGGAGTTAATATGGAAGCGGACCCATGAGTCTGGGGAACCGCACGCCCTGGATAGCTGGGGATGACCTGTGTTCTGGATCTGAGGGGAAACCACACAGGAGCCGTACAGAAACACCAGGGCGGCTAGAACCTAGGGGAGGCGAGGCACGGTGAGAGAGGAATATTTGTACATCAGAGGTTTGATTTTATTCTAAGCACAGTGGGAACGGTTTTACAAGGGAACTGGGAGGACACATTTATGACACAAGGCTCCTATCGAGTACTGAGAGACGGAAAGGAAAAAGTATGTAAGTGACAAAAAGTGACCATAAAATGTATGAAGAGGACAGTTGATATATCGCCATCAGGACTGGAAAGTTCTACCCACTGCTCCATTGTAGAAAGAAAACCCATCCTGGAGCAAGCAGTGCCTGAAGGCGTAGTGAGTGGGGCATTCTGGACGACTCTTACACTGCTGCTTGTGATAAGCAGGAGGTGAGACCAACTGAAATGCTTCTCCTAGCAAAGTAAGATCTGGTGGTTTTTTCCAGGGTATGGAGTCAGAGCTGCGGGCCTTCGCCTCCCGCCCAGAGCACAAGTCCTCGGACAGCACGTTCCTGGTGCTCATGTCTCACGGCATCCTGAGCGGAATCTGTGGGAAGGCGTTCAGCTCGAAAAATCAGGACGTGCTGCCTTATGACACCATCTTCCAGATCTTCAACAACGTCAACTGCCTCAACCTCAGGGACAAACCCAAGGTCATCATCATCCAGGCCTGCAGGGGTGGTGAGTTCTAAGAGGGAAACCCCAGAGGTCAAGCCGGTGTCTGCTGAGAACAATGATGTGTGCTTTGCTTCTAGAGGAGACGATCTTAGACCCCATTCGGGGCAAACAAACTAGACTGAATTAGCAGGAAACTTGCCCTAGGGGGCTGATGGGCATCTGTCCCATCAGCGGACACATTTCTGTTCAACTCAAGAACACCACTAGCATTCCTAAATAGAAGTTAAACACAAATATTCAAATCCTGGAACAAAATGATCTTAATGAGGGCTTTCCTTGTTAACATTTTACATTTTGACAATCTCTGGCTTGAGAAGAATTTCCTTTGAGAGTGAGCATAGGATGTACTAGCGGTGTCTTTTTTCCTCAGGCATATTGGAAGGGAAATGAGTAGGAAGGTGCGGGAACAACAACAACAAAAAAACCCCAAAAAGCAAAAAAACTTTTCTCCTGACTTCCAACTGTCCTTTTGCTTTGTGGAGCAGTGTTTGGGGGGAAAAGGAAACAAACATAACTTAGCTTAAAAAATGTAACTATGCTCTCTGAAATTAGGCAAATAAGGCTTTAACTTCTGCTGTCTTCCTCGCAAACGGGCCCTTCCAGTTTTGTGATGCTGTCAGCGCTAACCGGCGCGTTGCTGAAGGACCCTAGAGAAGGGTAGAGCGCTGTGTGTGTGTGGGTGTGTGTGCGTGAGTCTAACTGGTTGGAATAACTCCTTAACAACAAAGTTGTGGGCAATTGCTCTCGTCATCCCGAGAGGCACACGGTGTGAAGAAATGTGATGTCTCCACAGAAAATCTTGGGGAAGCGTGGGTCAGTGACTCAAAAGCGGCCTCCGCCGGCAGCTTTTCCCATCAACCTCTGCTCCTGGAGAGCGACGCCATCCACAGGGTCCACGTGGAGAAGGACTTCGTTGCTTTCTGCTCCTCAACCCCACGTATGTGTCTTTCCAGGGCACACAGGGATTTGTGGGCCTGAGGGGACCTCTGAACGATTCTAGAAAATCAAAACAGGCTCCGCGCAGCAATGATCCGAGGCAAATTTTATGTGTTGTCGATATTGTTTAAATCTTGTCTCATCTGTTCTATGGAGACGAAGATTCTGTTTTTTCCCTTTACTTTCTAAGATCGTACTTTTATTATAAGAGTTGTGCTTTCGAGTCAAAGGTACACCAAACATTAAAACAACCTAATGCAAGGACCCTCCTTTCCCATACACCACTTTAAAACAAATGACTGATTCCTTTTTCTACTAAATCCATTCAACAGTTTGAGAAGAGTTTTTCTGGATCCTGGGACTGGCTGCTCTTTCTCAGAGGATCATGCAAGCCTTCCACCACATGCCCCAGCCCAGTGTGGATGCCCCTCCCCCTTTTTTTTTTTTCCTTAAAGATTTTATTTATTTATTTAACAGACAGAGATCACAAGTAGGCAGAGAGGCAGGCAGAGAGAGAGAGGGGGAAGCAGGCTCCCCGCTGAGCAGAGAGCCCGATGTGGGGCTCAATCCCAGGACGCCGGGATCATGCCCTGAGCCGAAGGCAGAGGCTTTAACCCACTGAGCCACCCAGGCACCCTATGGATGCCCCCTTTAAAACAAGTAGAAAATGATACCTTGGGGCGTATTTGATGTACTAACAGTAGAGCAGTGTTTAGTTCTTGACCTCTACGTAATCATCTGAAGAAGCCTTACATTTGGGTGTTTCTAAGTTGCAAATTTTTATTTTCAGTCTTTTTAAACCACTTTATAGAAATATGACTGACATCTGCTAGGACTTCATGAGTTTGGAGATAAGAATATATCTGTGAAGCTATCACCACAATCCATGCCACGAACGTATCCATCCCCTCCAAAAGTTTCTTTTCGGTCTGTTCACCTATTTTGTTGATGACACTGTGAAAGACAGTACGGTAATTAGTCTGTAAATGGCCACCTGTGTAAATGTGGTGACAGTCTTGAATCCTTCTGAGCTTCTAGCCTTTCCTCTGTAAACTGGGATAATTCCAATTATCTCTCAGACCTCTTTTGGAAGCCAAGTGGATGAACAGAGGGCACAGAGTTAAAAGTCAGTCAGTCCTAACAATACAATAGGACTACTGGTTCATCTTTTGCAGTTCTGATGGGCTGCCCTGCTAGTTCAACCTCTGCTAGCTTTTCGTTTGTCTATTTGCTTCCTGTCTGTGGAAAAATGAGTTAACGTAGGGTTATAGCTGCTTCACCTAAACACACCGAGATAACTACCAAGCTATGCTTTAGAAAAACTGTAAACAGAGGAAGAGTGAAGGCCATAGCCTTCATAGATAATGTATGATGTACACCTCCTCTCTTCATAGATAATGTATCCTGGAGACACGTCACAAAGGGATCTCTCTTCATTGTACAACTCATCACATGCTTCCAAAAATACTCTTGGTGTAATCACCTAATAGAAGTATTTCAGAAGGTAAGCTTGTCTTTCCTCTTCTAGTCATTTGTCTGTTCAGGAAGCCTTTGCCAGGTGACAATGTCGGAACTGGTCAGGCAAACACAAGTGGAATGGGACCTGGTTCCTGTCATCTAGGTGTTTAAAACCTGATTTAGAAAAAATAAAAAAGAAAAACATCAGTGCACTATAACAAGAGGTCAAAATATAAAAGAAATAATATAAAATATAAGTTTGTATGTCATGGGGTATAAGTTCTTAAGTTTCAAAGAGTGGGAGGTATTTGCATTAATTTTCATTGTTTACTTTATTAAATAAATATTGACTGGCTGGCATATTTGTGGGCTCTCTCCCGGTGACAAAGGGGTGAAGGAGACACGTGTGACCTTAAGGTTCTGTAGCAGGTACAGTGCTTGTGAGACACATGGTCACTGAACAAGTAGGCCAACAAACAAATGTGTGGTTATGGATTGTGATGGGATCTGTAAAGAAAAGTCTGAGGACATGTGAATGGGGTGGTCCAGAAGGGGAGACCTGATGCTGCTTCCCCAGTTCTGGACACTCCTTAGTGGCCCCCTTTCTCTGTTTACTTTCCTCCATGGCTCTTCCCTCCATGCACTAAGTATATGTATTTATAGGTTCATTTTTTTTTAAAATCTGTATTTACTCACTCAAATGTGAACTTACGAAAGTGGGGATTTGCTAAATGCGACATTCAGGCACATAGGAATTAATATCCATTGTATGAATAAATGCTTGAATAAATAAATAGATGTTCTCCCCTTTTTTAGGGAACAAGGGATTGCTATTAAGAACATAGAAAATTGTGGTTGTGTTTTCAATAAAAAACATAGAGAACAGTTACACTCTTCTGGAAGAAGAAAGCAATACCACGAGTAAACTGGAGACGTCAGCAGCATGACACGAGTTGGGGTCTCTAAATAGGAACTTAGCAAGTTAAGTCCTTTGGATGAGTAGGATTTGGACATTGCACTCGGAAGGGCATTTCCAGGAAAGACTAGAAATAATCGATCTAGGTTCAGCAGGATCTCATTGATCAGCCCGTGGCAAAAGACTTCAAGTCAGCCTGGTGGAAGGGATATGAAAGTTACTCAGTGTTCTGGACTTAAGAACAAAATCCTGGGATTTGAGTCTCACTAAATTGAGGAGTTAACCCTGGTAGACATAGAAAGTAGAGAATTCTCAAGATCCAGTTCTCATGAAGCAACCCCAGGGGAAAACTAATTGTCAGATCACAAACAGAAAGCAGGAAATAGAGTTTGAAAGGGCTTGGATTAGGCATAAAGTGTTTGAGAAAAAGGACATATTCTGACACCGGGTATCACTTTTAAGAGGTAGGGCAGCACTGGCAAAGAGTCTGAGTGTCCATGGGGCTGGCCGCATCAACCCTAGGAGCACCCTGAATTCCCAGAATTTTCTGGCTCATGGTGAAAAATTTTTCCTGAGAATTCATAAGAGGCATCATCTAGCCCCTCTTTTTGTTTTTAGGTACAACAATCATTTGAAAAACCAGATGTCAGAGCCCAGATGCCCACCATTGAACGAAGTTCTCTGACAAGACCTTTCTATCTCTTCCCTGGCAATTGAAAACGGTAAGTGCCGAGAGCTGTTGGCAGGTGGAGTAAATGGGAAAGTAATATTGGTGGTGAGGTCCAATGACTAAATGGCGGCTGACAGCTTAGTTGGTCCCATTAGTGTTCCTGGTTGATGTAGTTTGGCGGTTAGTTGCTGTTTTTTACTCTACTTCTGTGCATCTGAATCCTACCTCCACCTCCACAATCGAGCCATTGGTTAGTCAAGCGAAACCAAGTCAGGAAGTAATGAACTGTGCAGGACACAGCATAGCAATTATTAAAATAGAAATGTCCTCATGTTTCCACTGACTTACATTCATCTCTCTCATTCCCTCCCTTGCCCACCCCTCCCACATGCCGAGTTCCCACACATTGCCTCAGATCCTGAGAACATGGGAAACACAGGAGCAGGGAGAGAGCAGGACTTCGGTCCTCTGAGTGCACATGCATCACGTTGCCGCTCTGAGCGACCACTGCCAGACGGTACAAAAGCTACCCCATGTGGAGGCAGACTCCGGTTCCGTACCACTCCCACGGAGCGGATCTCACCCTCGGAGTGTGCTCTCACAACTGCACACGCTGCACACGAACCCCCTGAGCACCCACCACCACACGTAGGAGTATTGTTGTTATTATTATTTTTGGTCAAAATATTTTAGAATGGGTACGCCAAGGTTAGACCCCAAATTATTTCACTGACTCACAGCCGCTTTATATTATAAGCAATTATGAGTCTGCCTCTCAGAAACATCACTTAAATTCTGTTTTATCGTGAGGTTGACCTCAGTGGTTCAGTGTGTGCCCCTGCCATCTCCCGCCCCTGGTTTCTGACACGGTCCTGGCGCAGTTGCCCAGATACTTCAGTGTAACAGCTGCTAAGGCCTAATGAGTCCAAGAGAACTGCATGGAGGGACTGGCTTATTTACGGGACTCGTATGTATCCGGCACTGACTATGTTCCAGGTTCTGATCCAGATGCTGGCAATATACCAGGCAACAAAGCAAGTGGAGTCCTTGCTCTGAGAAGCACGCTCGAGCAAGGGGAGACAGACTCTAACCACACAGGAAACAGATCCTGCGTTGAGAGGGAGAAGAGCTAAGAGAAATGGAGGAGGTTAAAGAGCCCCAGAGGGAGGGTGCTGTCAGGCTACAGATAGATTAATTTAGGCAGAATTTCCTTCAAGTGATAAAATGGTACAGTCAGAACAAGGAATGGACAGGTTGTGTGTGTGTGTGGGGGGACCTTGTGGTACCTGTTGGGGAAAAAGTGTCCCACCTCAGGGAACAGCAAGTATAAACACCCTGAGGCAGAAACGAGCCTCACATGTCTACAGAAGTACCAAGAGGCAGCAACCTGGGGGAGAATGAGATCAGGGAAAATGGCAGAGACAAATTCAGAAAAGTGGTGGGAGCCTGTTCACGTGGACCTTGGTGGTCATGTGGTAAAGGTTTTAAATGTTTTATCCTGAGTGAGACAGAGAGGACGTTTCAAGTGCTCTTACGTATGGAAATAACATAATCAGGGGCCTGGGTGGCTAAGTGGGTTAAAGCCTCTGCCTTTGGCTCAGGTCATGATCTCAGGGTCCTGGGATGGAGCCCCGCACCAGCCTCTCTCCTCAGCAGGGAGCCTGCTTCCCCCCCTCCTTCTGCCTGTCTGCCTCCTTGTGATCTCTCCATCAAATAAATAAAATCTTTAAAAAGGAAAAAAAAAAAAAAAAAGAAACGACATAATCTAGTAAGAGAGATTTTGCAAAGATCACCTGGAGTACTTTTGGGTGAGTAGACAACAAGAGTCACAACTATAAGCCAAAGGAAGTGGCAAAAGTCACCCAGATGAGGATGGGAATGGAACCGTGAGAAGAGACAAACTGAGGTCTTTCCGGGTTTGCTGTCTTGACATTCTGCCCTTTTTCTCTCCTTCAGGCCATCGCAGGCAGTGCAGCCCGTCTTGACCAACTTCGAAAAGTACCTTGACCAAAGCATGCTCATGTGACCTTTTGTATTTCAATAAAAAAGAAAACAAATGAACTGTCTTTTACATCCTCTAGCAGAGAATAGGATTTCCGTAAATGGTGGCTGAATGGAAATCAGGTGGAAGATGTGAGCTGGATTTTCCAGTTTTATGACTCAGAGGGTGTGTGCACTTCCTGGGGGAACATAACCGGCCATGACTTGACCTTAGCAATAGGGTGACGGGGGGCAGTACCTGTCCAGAGACAAGAACTATAAACTGGTCAGCTCCGCACTTATATACTTATCGGACCCTGGACCTACAGAATGATCTAGAAGAAGTTTTCTATTAATTACTTGGCCAACATTATAGGTGGAGCTTTTTTTTTTTTTTTCCTTCAGTAAAGTGTGAGTTCAGCAAATTAATCCCATGTATCTCTCTTCCTGCTCTACGTTTTTCTTGATAAGTATTTTTTCCCCAGACTTCTGCACTTTCTACATTTCAGGAAAATCTTATCCTTTAGCAAGCCCCTGACTGTCATCTAAAATAAGTTGGGCTTTTGTCCAAGATGGTGTAAACTCAGTGTATTTGTATAAACACACAAATACAATTAGAAACATCACAGAAAATGCAAGGGAGTGTTAGCAGTGGAAGGAGTAATGTCCACTCTTCTGGATAATGTCCACTCTTCTGGAAGGATGAATGTTGGAATTTGAAGGAATTTTGGCTACATGGCCACTAGAACTACTATGTAAGGAGATATACACTTCTACCATGTCCACAGAGAATGCTGGATAGACATTTTCGCACATAGCTGAACGAAATTAAAAAAAAAAAAAGGATGCTCTAGATGTCAAATAGAAACATAATAGTTAAAATTTATATAGGTTAATTGAATGTCAAGATTATTGTAAAGATTTCAATTATTAAAAGGGATTTTGTGTATAAGTAACTAATTTAAGCCTTACAACAGCCCTGTAATTACTATCAACATCCTCGTTTTACAGATAATTTAGAGCTTAAATGACCTGTCCAAGGTCACACAGTTAGCAAGTGAAAGTTCTGGAATTACTCTGAAATCTGAGTCATTAACTTACTCTGAAATCTAACTAAATCTGTGCTGTGTTGTCTCTCCAAAGCAAGGACAGACTAAAATTGTAGCGTTTCTGAACTGTAGGGGTTAACTGAATTTTGAATTGCAAGGATTAACTAACACTACAAAAATTCATGCTGGCTTTATTTCTGGACTTGGCCTGCTCATGTAGACATGTAAGTCACATCACAAAGATTCAAAAAATATGTATCACAGATGCCTCAGTCTTTCACTACCGAGTGGTAATACTAGAAACCCAATAACAGAAAGACTGCCTCACATCTGCATATAGCACAGAATGGAAATACACACGCATACGCACACAGATTCCGAACATAGAACTATGTGTACATATAGGCACATACAAAAACCAGGAAGAAAAACATATGAACTAAGCATTCAATTTAAGAAGTCAGGAAAATACTAAACCAATACATAAATAGAAGTAAGCAAATCATACGGATTCAAAAGAACGCATGAATGAAATTGTAATGAAACAAAGGACTGAGCAGGTCACTGAAGCAAACACTGGACCTTTAAAGGGCTAATTAAATTACAGACAGACAAGACTGAATGTGAAAGAAAAGAATTAGCACAGAGGCAATATTCAAGATAAAAAGGTATGATGAATACAGATAGACATAAATACAGAAAAAAAAAAATTAGAGAAGGGGTGCCTGGGTGGCTCAGTGGGTTAAGCCTCTGCCTTTGGCTCAGGTCAGGATCTCAGGGTCCTGGGATCGAGACCCTTACCGGGCTCTCTGCTCAGCAGGGAGCCTCCTTCTCTCTCCCCCTCTGCCTGTCTCTCTGCCTACTTGTGATCTCTCTCTGTCAAATAAATAAATAAAATCTTTAAAAATAATAATCAGAGAATATCACATGTAACACAGAGGAAATATATGGAAAACTTTCTAGAAAAGGTAAATTAATAAACTTAATACATAAGTTACATAATAAAAAGCTGAATTGACCCATAAACATTAAATAAATGAATTTTTCTTTGTCATATTTATCTGCAAAAATGATGAGTAGACCCAAATGGTTTTAAAGACATGTCTTACAGAACTTCTAAGAAACTGACACACTCTACTTTCAATAAACAGTTCCACATGAAAAAGAGAAGTATGCTTCTTAAAATCTTTTATAGGTCTTATACAAAACTGAAAGAAAATGTTAGAAGAAGAGGAAAACTTAGAAAAATATTGGCTGATTTCTCATAAACACTCATGTAAAGATTCTAAAAAACCTGTTAGCAAAACAAATCTAGCCATATCTGAAATACTACTAATATTTATTAATTAGTACTTGACAATACTAGTATTTACTCTAAGGATGTGGTTACAGTTTAATAAGAGACATATTTAGGACAGCTTTCCTCAAAATAAAATTTAAAAAGTAGATGCAATAATTTTAAGAAGTTTATAAATGCATTTAATAGTACTGAGAATTCATTTATGATAAAGAATAATTAAAACCTTAGAAAAACAAGAAGAAAAGCAATTCCTTAATCTAATGCATATATTTAATAAGAAGCCAACCAACAAAATAGAAGTACAGTAAAAACAATGTGTGAAAATCTATAGCCTCCTTATGCAGAAATATTTGAGGATTACCTTTGAATAAGATACAAGTAAAAAATATTTCTATTCAGTTTTGCACTAGAGTTCCAAGCCAAGAAAGCCGAAAGTAGAAGTATGGAACACAAAAAATAAAATCATCATTGTTCTTGAAAAATATGATTTTATTCACTAAAAGCTCTTCAAATTAATAATATATTCCCTGGATTTGTAAGAATTCAGATCAATATACAAAATAAAACAGCATTCCCGTTTTTAAAAGATGATAGGAAGTGTTTGCTTTTTAAAGGTTCTTCTTGCAAATAGCAATTTACATCATGAGATATTTGAAGGTAATTGTAAACAAATACTTGCAAGGTATGCATGGAAAATATTTTTAAAAAATCACCGAGTGACATGCAAAGAAGATTTAACTACTGTGAAGGATATCCCCAAGATTGATTAGAAGACAAATGTAAAGATTTCAATTTCCTACCCAAATTAATCTATAAACCCAACAGAATAACAAAGAAAACCTAACAGGAAATTTTCTCAAACTGGATAGTTTATTTGTATACCTTGTTTAGAAAATACAACAGTAAGAAGAGCTAAGAAAACAATTTTGTGTTGAAGGGATGGAGACTGCCTAACTACAAATCAGGACATGATGTAAAGCTCCATCAAGGGAAACAAAGCAAAACAAACCACTGGACTCCATCAAGACACACAGCGATAGGGAACAATGAACAAAACTAAAAGGCAGCGTGTGGGATGGGTGAAGATATCTGCAAGGACATATCTGAGAATGGGTTAGTATCTAAAATCTGTGAAGAAATTATCAAACTTAACACCGCCACCCCCCCAATAATAATACAACGCTTACACTTTTCAGGGGATGCAACATGGTGTAGTCACTCTGGTAGGCAGTATAAAGGGTTCTCAAAAAGGTAAAAATAGGGGACACCTGGGTGGTTCAGTCAGTTTAGAGTCTGACTCTTCATTTTGGTTGATGTCATGATCGCAGGGTCATCAGATCAAGCCCCGCATCCGGCTCTGCCCTGGGTGTGGAGCCTGCTTAGGATTCTCTGTCCCTCTGCCCCTCACCATCCCCCACTGCATGCTTTCTCTCAAACAACAATAACAACAACAAAAAAAAACCCAGAACTACCCTGCAACCCAGCAATGGCACTACTAAGTATGCACCCAAAGGATACAGAAATACAGATTCAAAGGCGTACACACCCCAATGTTTATGGTAATGTTATCAACAATAGCCAAACTATGGAAAGAGCCCAAATGTTGACTGATGAATGGATAAAGATGTGGTATATATATGTACAATGGAATGTTATTCAGCCATAAAAGTAATGAAACATCATTTGCAATAACATGGATGGAACTAGAATTTATTATGCTAAATGAAATCAGTCAGTCAGAGAAAAACAAATACCATGTGATTTCACCATTCATGGAATTTAAGAAACAAACAGGTGAACACAGGGGAAGGGGGAAAAGACAGAGGGAAGGAAACCATAAGAGATGCTTGACTGCAGGGACCTGTAATGGAGGGGGTAGGCTAGATGGGGGATGGGCATTAAGGAGGGCACGGGTCATGAAGAGCCCTGGGTGGTGTGTGTAACTGATGCACCACTAAATTCTACTCCTGAAGACATTTCTACCACATATGTTAACTAACTAGAATTTAAATAAAAACTTGAAATGAAAAATAAAATAAATAGGGGAGGAGTCAAGATGGCGGAGAAGTAGCAGCTGAGACTACTTCAGGTAGCGGGAGATCAGCTCGATAGCTTATCTAAAGATTGCAAACACCTACAAATCCAACGGGAGATCGAAGAGAAGAACAGCGACTCTAGAAACAGAAAATCAACCACTTTCTGCAAGGTAGGACTGGCGGAGAAGTGAATCCAAAGCGACGGGAAGATAGACCGCGGGGGGAGGGGCCGGCTCCCTGCAAGTGGCGGAGCAACGGAGCACAAAATCGGGACTTTTAACAAAGTCTGTTCCGCTGAGGGACATCGCTCCAGAGGCTTAACCGGGGTGAAGCTCACGCAGGGTCAGCGTGGCCTCAGGTCCCGCAGGGTCACAGAAGGATCGGGGGTGTCTGAGTGTCGCAGAGCTTACAGGTATTAGAACAGGGAAGCCGGCTACAGAGACAGAGCCGAGGAGTGACTCTAAGCTCGGGGTTACCTTGAACCGGTCGCAGGCTCGGTCAGCTCGGAGCGCGGCCGGAGGCAGGCTGACGGGAGTAAATCGGCGCTGTTCTCTGAGGGCGCACTGAGGAGTGGGGCCCCGGGCTCTCGGCTCCTCCGGGCCAGACACCGGGAGGCCGCCGTCTTCATTCCCGCCCTCCGGACTCTACGGAAAGCGCTCAGGGAACAAAAGCTCCCGAAA